GCATTGGCACATGGGGCCTTTGTGTGGGTAACATTCTGCATAGTTTGGGACCAGCTGAAACTTAGGCCTTTTATTTTCAAATCAATCCTCCAACAATAACATGGGTCTGATAAAGTTCCCATCTTGTCCTAATCTGAAGCCAGAGCTGAAGGCTTCCCTTTATTTTGGTGATTCAATGAAGTGGGTAACCAGAGTTATGATGTATAGCTTTTCTTCCTTACCATCCACTCTGAACAGTAATTAAACATTTTGAGTATTTTCAGACTGATCTTTTTTTGTCCTGCCAGCTCTGTAGGACTGATTACTGAAGGTAAAATACCTGTCAGTGTTCCTTATGATGATTTAGCCATATGTAGCTATTAAGCTGAAAAACCATTCATAAAACAATTTTATTCTTTCTTTTACCAAGTGCTGGGTATATCTATGACAGGTCTGATGACTATCAAATATCTGGTGAGATGTTCCCTGGACATGTTTAGTCACATGGCCAGTCTCATTGCAATAATTAAAATATCTTCTCTGGGATGTCCTATCCTTTCGGGATGTCTAGTCAAAGTGGAATAAATATATGCCTCTTTATCTGATTTAGTAGATGCAGTTAAAACCCTAGATTTAATGCCTGGAGCAGTTTTTTGAGGGGTCTAAAGGTAAAAGGTAGCAGGCAGCTGGTGGAAGGAACCGGAACTGGAAGGAACACTGAGCTTTCTCTTGCCTCTGGTATTTCCTGCTTTAGATGTAAAGACAGGTGGAAGTCTGGAACTAAGTACAGTGGTGCCTCAGTTTGTGAACTTAATTTGTTTTACAATTTGGGGGAAGATGGCTGTGTTTGTGTGGGGAAGACAGCCCTGGTTGTGTTTGTCGCCCGATATAGAGTTTGCAAACAGAAGCAAAATTTTGCCAAATGCTTTTGTTTGCAAACAGAAGTGACTGTGAAATGAGGCATTAGGTGCAGAGAAAGAAAGCTCCAAGGGAAATCCTTTATCTTCAATCTGAAGGAGAGGAGAGGTCCCTAAGAGCCAGAGCAAGATGAGAAAATATCATATTCTTACTCTTTCCTTATATTTTCTACCACCTCAGCTTCCTGGACATCCTGTGGTGGAAGTGGCAGCAGCAGTGACGGTGATGACAGTAACAGTCATGGCTGGTTAGGCACCCCACACTCTCAAGGTGAAGCGCTCCTCTGTCTGATGAAAGACACTGAGGGGTGAAATATATGCTGCTCATTCTCTCTTTATCTTTTTGCTACTTGGTTCTGGAGACAGGAAGAATCAACTTGTTGCTCTTCTTTCCCTAACCTTTAGTTTGCAAAGGGTCTTCATCTCCTTGCCTGTTATTTTTTCTGGAATATTTCTCTAGTACACTGACCACCACATTTGCATTTATTGTAATAGTGCGAGTCCAGGACTAAACTTCATCCTGGATAAAGCCTCTTCCTTTTGGAAGTAACTTTACCTGCCTGTGTTATGAAACTGTTTTGATCATCTCATAATTATCTCTGTACATGGGCTGCTGCCTCTGCCTGTGGATTCACCCTCATTCACCCTCCAAGACTTAGCTTGGTGCTTTGAACAAATCTTTGACTAACTAGCAAAGTTTTTTGTCTTCTAAATGAAACCTCTTAGGAAGTAGTAAAAGGTGTACATTAATATATCAATTAAGCATTAAATAGAAATGAAATTGACAGAATATTTTACTGAGGGTGGGCTAACAGATATTTTCATGTAAAATCATTCTTTGTATTGGACTAAAAAGTTGAAGATATTCAGTAATCAAATTTGAAGCACTTCAATTCATACTGTGTTCACTAATGTTGTATATTTGGTTGAAAGAGGGAGTAGAAAAATGAAATATTTCTGTATATTCTGAGAGTATAAAATCTTGCTGGGGAGATATAATCCTTGTATTGCCTTCAACAATTGAAATGCACACACAAAGTAAGTACCACAGTGGCCAAAATCTTGAGTTTTCATTTGTTGTCTGTAACTTATTATTCCTCATTAACATTGAGCACCTAACTTGGTGTAAGTCTGTTAGTTGGCCTAATGTTTTAAGTTAAACAGAATAGTCAGAGCTTGTAGTCTGAAGAAGCTTGTAGCTAAGCTGATAATTACTATAACAGAATAAAATTAGTCTTTAAAACAGTTATGAGCCGCATCTTCTAACAGCCAGCAGTCTTATTTTTCTTATGTATCAATGTCCCATTTTGGAAGTGGTGAAGGACTCAATCTGAGAAGAGGAGGGATACAGTTTTTTGGTTTTCTTTTTTTATTTGTAAGTGTTTGCAATATATAATGCTTACATTCCTGCTATGGAGTTGGTACATGTACATAACACATCTTAATTCCTTTTATCATCCTCTTTTCCCTCCCCTTTCTTCAGCTCTCGCTCCCCTTCCCATTTGAAAAAGACCTACTTCCATACTTCCTATTATCTATATTTTATTTTGGTCTTTAATTATAATGTGGGATTCTCATATAAAAGAAACCATGCAAATAGTTAAGCTTGTGTGTCTGATTTATTTTATTTAACATTAATGGTCTCAAGATACATCACTTTTCTACAAATGACTCAAGTTTATCTTTCTTTATGACAGAGTAGTATTGCATTCTGTGTAAGTATGTACCAACTTTTTCTATCCATTCATGTGTTGAAGGACATATAGTCCACTTCCATGATTTAGCTATTGTCTTAGTTGCTTTTCTCATTGCTGAGGCAAAATACCTGATACCCAAAGTTAAAGGAGGAAAGGATTATTAGCTTATGGCTTGTAGAAGTTTCAGTCCATACGCAGCTAGCTCAGAGGCAGGAAGGGTGGCTTGGCAGAGGGGCATCCCAGAGGAGAAACAGTTCATGACAAAAGAAGACAGGAAAAGCAAGCCAGGGAAGGGGACACAAGCCTCTTTCTGCCCCTTTTATCTTATCCAGACTGCTAGGATTAGGGTGGTGCTAATTCAATCAGTGGACTGACCCAGCAATCACCCACCCTTAATCCCAGCACCCTTAGTCCTAGCACCAAACCATGAATCAATCACAAACTCTGGATTTAGCTACCTCCCAAAAAGTCCAATCTAAAATTGCATAAGGCTTTGGAGGGAAGTCTAGATACAAATAACAGCTTTTATGAACTGTACTGCTATAAACATGGGCAGGTATATGTTACTATAATATAATTGTTATGGTTTGTGTCTGGGTGTCCCCCCAAAACCACATGCAGGCACGGGGCAGGCTTTTAGAATTTATGTTTGATTCATGGTCCAATTTTGGAGTTATGGATGTGAGTGTTACACCTGCCCTGGGGCGGGTAGTTTGCATACAATATAAGGGAGGGAAAGAGGCTGCTTGCCACCACTCCTCCCTTTTGCTCTTGCTTGCTGTCTTCTACTACCATGAACTGTTGCCCTGTGCCATGTGCCACCTTGCCTCGGAGCCAGCCGAGTATGGACTGAAACCTCCACAAACTTTCAGCTACATAAACCTTTCCTCCTTATTCTGGGCATCAGGTATTTTGTCTCAGCAACAAGAGAAAGTAACTAAGATGGTAATGTCATTAACTCTTTTTGGAAGATACCTAGAAAATGAGTAGCTGGACCAAATAGAATTTCTAGTTTTAGTGTTTTGAGGAATCTCCATACTGATTTTCATAGTGACTTGACCTACTAATATTCATTCCCACCAAAAATGTGGAAGGATTCCTTTTTTCCCTGCAGCCTTGCCAACATTTGTTATTACTGTGTTTGATTTCTTGACTATGGCTGTTCTTTCTGGATTAAGATGGGACTTCAGTGTTGTTTTAATTTGCATTTCTCTAATGTCCAGTTGTGGTTTTCATTGTGAGGTCTTTTACTTCCTTAGATAGGTTATTTTTTAAGTATGCAGGCTTTTTTGGTGGTGTTGTGGAGAGTAATTTTTCCTAATTTCTTTTTCCCTGGTTCAATATCAGTGTATAGGAATGCTATTGATTTTTGTGTGTTGATTTGGTGCCCTGCTACATTACTGAAGTTGATCATTAATTCTAAGTCTTTGGGCAGATTTTTTGGAGTTTTTTACTGTTACTTTTTTATTAGTACATGTTTGCGATACACAGTGACTATTTTCATTGTAAGCATTTGGTGCATGTACAGAATGCATCTTAATTTGTATCACATCCCCTTCCTCTCCTCTCCCCTCCCTCCTCCATCTCTTGGCCCTCTTCCCTTTTGCAAAAGCTCTATCTCCCTGTTTCCTTTTATCTGTCTTTTTATTTTGCTGTTTAATTTATTTATACTTTGGATGTAAGATCTGAGTGCAGTGGAAATTTTTATATAAGAGAAACCATGTAGTATTTAAACTTGTGTGTCTAATTGATTTCATTTAACATTATGGTTTCATGGTGCATCTATTTTCTCAAAAAATATTCAAATTTATTCTTTTTTATAGCAGAGTAGTACTCCACTGTGTATAAGTACCTGTTCTTCATCCATTCATCTGTTGGTGAACATATGTCTGCTTCCTGATTTTAGCCATCATGAACTGTACTGCTTTAAACATGCATATTTATCTCATACTTCAGATCGTTGGCTCTCAAAACATGCCGCAAATTGAAATCCTTGAGTGATTCTTGCATGCAGCTCAAGTTGTACACCAATGGTTTACCAAAATTCTCCTCAAGCTTTAATATGTGTCAAGTGACCCTTAGGAGCTTAATAAAATTCACATTCTTAAATAGTAGTGTGGAGCTGTGATTTGGAGTGTGTGTATGTGTCTGCTGTCTGCACACCGGTGTGTGTACGCAGTGCCTGTACACATGCGCATATTCTTCACATAGCTTTTATTGCTTCCTCACGCAGCAAAGCCTATCTCCAGTTTGAGTTTCCAACACAATGTCATACTGACCCTGAAGTGATCTCCTCATTCGTAGAGGCCTCCTGGTGAACCCACATGCTCAGGGCACACCGCCCCCCGACTTGTGCATCACAGCACCGTAGCAGCCCACTCTCTTAGGCAGTTCTCTGTGCTCTTACTGCCGGCTTCACTCCGATGTGCTTGTGGTGCTGCCTCCGGAGGGGCCGCACTGATAATGGCATCTGAGGGCATTCAATTAGCACATTTCAGCTTTCTCTGGTCATAGACACCTCATAATTTTTCACTAATGCAGTTGGATCTTTTTCTTTTTCCAAATCATTAGGCATCCCTTCCATGTTACTTTTCACTTTCCAGCCTGTAGTGGCTATGGATTCTATTTTAATACCATCTCAACACATCTGTGTGTTAGGGTAATTTAGGGAGAAATCAGGTGCTAACATTTTTTCAAAGAAGAGTTTCATTTTTTTTTTTGTATCTTACTAAGATATTGATCCTGCCTCCTCTCTTTAGCTGAATCAGAATATGAAGCCGTGGCACTAATAAATAAATGGGTGGAAGGCTGAGTCTGGGAAGTAGGGGAGAAAAGGCTGGGGACAAAGAAAGAAAGCTCCTGAGGATCGTGGCTGCAATATGGGGGGTAAAAACTGCTCTCTTTGGGGAGCAGGCACAGGTGGTGAGATCTTTATGTTGTCCTAAAGCCCAGTATCTTGGGAAGCAGAAGCCTTGGGAGAAAGGTGAGATCTGGAAACACTGCTAATGTGAGCTGAGGGGCAGGGTTCTGTTTCAAGGTGTGGCAGACTTTAAGGGGTACAGGAATCCTTCAGAAGAATCTTGTTTAAAATACTATTGCATATTATCCAGCCATAAAAAAGAATGAAATCCTTCCATTTGTGACAGTGTTAATGGATCAGGAGAAAAATATAAACCAGGTATAGGAAGACAGCAATTACATATTTCCTTTCATTTGTGGAAGCTATAAAAGTTATTCTCATAGAAACAGAGAGTGGCGTAGTACTCACTAGAGACCACTAAGCATAGGAGGGAGGAAGAGATAGAGAAAAGCTGATTAATGGTTACTGGTTACAAAATTGTTACTGGTTACATGTATAGTTAGATTGGAGGATTAAGGTCTGGTGATCCAAAGCACAGCAAGATGGCTGTACTTATTATCTAGCAATAATTTACTGTATATTTCAAAGTAGCTAGAAGAGAGTCTTTTGAATGTTCCCAACATAAAAAATACATGTTTGAGATTACATATATATGAATTACTCTCATTCATTCATGGTATACAATGTGTGTCAAAATGTCACATTATAACCTATAAATCTATGTAATTTTGACATGGCAATTAAATTTTTTGAAAAAGCACATCTGTTCAGTTAGATCTGTGTGGGGTCTGAGTTTGTGCAATTCTAATAATTTCCCTGTGACAGATGCTGCCACTCTGAGAAGCAAACTTAAAATGCAATGCTCCACTGACATTCATCTGGTTCTGTGCCTTAACTTCCCAATTAAAATCACCTGGGAAGGTTTTAAAAACCTCAGTGCTCAGGATGTACCCTGAATCTGTTACTGCATCAGAAGCCAAGGCATAGCACTCAACCCATGGCAGCCAGGAAGCAGTAAGAAGGAGCCTGGATGAGAGATACACCTTCTGAAGGTGTATCTTCCTCTACGTAGGCCCTCCCTCTTAATAGCACATTCAGCTAGGAACTTATTGATTGATCCACTGATAAATGTAGTGGCCCCACGATCCAATCACATTCCCAAAGACACTTCTTCAAATACACGAGACTTTTGGCCTGCATTTTAGATTTCAATCAGTAGTGGTGAACCTAGGGCGTGTGTACTGCTGTGGACTGTTTGTATCTCTGAAAGCTCTACAAGGTTCACAATCACAGATCTAGATCACATACCTGCTTAATTCGAATCTAGAGGAAATCCTCAATGTGTGAGCTTTCCAAGTGGTTCTTGTGTATACTGTTTGAAAGTCACCACTCTGCATACTTAGCCTCTCAGATCGGTGCAATGGTAGAAATATTTACATTATAAGTATTGATTTCATGTAGCCTGTGTTGAGAAGTAACAGTGGAACCCACTTAGCAGTTACTGAGTGCTTACCGTGTTCCAGATAAAATGTCAAGCAATTGACTTATCATATCTCACATGTTAGTGCATCTCTAAAAGGTAATATTAATGAAGAAATAGATTACAATGGTTTGGCAATTTTCCAAATGTCAAATAGTACATGAATTAGAATTCCAAGCAAGGGCTTTCTGCTTACATGTGTTGTCTCCCAGTCTAGGCTAGGCACCATGACAAATAACTGGAAGTACAACTCACTCATTCTGTAACCATTCTGAGTATACAAGACACGGTGACTGTCATGCTACTGCTGCTCAGAAATGTTCCTGGTCTTGAACTCACTAACTCCAAAGAAGGAGATTGACTATAACTGCACAGGTGAATGCCTTTTATGGTACATGAAGAGTCTTGCGTTATGGGTGAAGACATCATCTTGGAAATTGAAAGATAAAGTAGAAGAATGGGAGAAAGATCTGCAAAGGAAATTATGTGATGATACTCAAGAGATAAAAGTGATCAGCAGAATACTACACTCGGGAGATATTTTTGGAAAAAAAGAAACCAGTATATTCAAAAGTCCATAAATGAAAGAAAGATGAAATTGTCATTCCATAATTGTTGCATCATTGTAATTTAGATGAAGAATTCAGGTCCTTTTGTAACTGCTGGAGTTTGGTCAGAACTATTAATTAGATTTTTATTTAAACTCTATTACTTTTCCACCAAAATAATGAGTTGGGTGAATGATGATTCAGGAATGATAGATAATGATTGGGTGCTAATGTGATATTGGTAATAATGCTGTGATATTAGTTAATGTGACTTTAGCCTCCAACCAAATTATTTTCCATTTTCAGGCACAGCTTTCACTGAACTGCTCTAACACTATCAAGACTTGTTTGCTTATTTGTTTGGTTGGTTTATTAATCTAGAGGTGGAAAAGAAAGCTCACCAAGTCCATGGAACACTTTTTAGAACAATTACAAGTCTCCAAAATGTTAACATATAACCATTAATTTAAAATTAGATGATAACTGCCAGCTTGCTATGCTTTTGTTTGATGAGATGGTACATGATATTCTATAATATTTTGTCTGTTGCTTTTCTTTGAGTGAATGCAGAACAGATATCATAATTACTTAGCATCTTGATCACTCTGATAGAAATAGATATTTAATCTTTGTGTTCTTATTAGTCTTTGGAATAAATATAACTATCATTCATTAGAAGTTAAAAAAATAGCAAGCACTATCTTGTCCCCCTCTGCTCTTTCTGATTTAGATGTGTACATTCAGTGCAAGTAGTGATTTGATTCCATCCCTTGTTCCTACAACCATCTCTCCTCTTCAGCTTCTCTGCCCATCCTTTCCACTTTGGAAGACTCTTTCCAGATACAATATTGCCCTACCATGCACTGTCTGTGTAACTGGTACTTGCCCATGCATGTTTGTTTCAGTGTTGTATAATTAGAACCTAAACTTTGAGAATATATGTTTAATTCATAACTGTAGCACTTACCAACAGTTCTCTCATGTAACCTCTCTATTCTATATTCCGTATTCTATTCTATTCTTTACCTATATAATAAGGGCAATAATGTGTAGGTGGTAGTACTTGTGAACACCTTGCACCACAGATTTGCTCTGCATATTCTAATATCAGGACCCTTTGTTTCTTCTTCCCTCCTCTTCTCATTTCTTCTTGTTGAGTTACTGAAATCACTCTCTTGTTGTACGGTGCTATAAGTTTTGTTTAATAATAGATTTTATTTGTTAGAGCAGTTTTAGATTGAAAGTAAAATAAAGGAGAAAGTACAGAGTTCCCATATAGTCTCTGCCCCCACACATGCACAGCTTCCTCTATGATCAGCATCTTAGATGAACACATTTTCTCAATCCACGATCCAGCTTTTACACATGATGATCTTTCAAGATTCATAATTTACATTAGAGTTCACTTTTTGTTGCACAGTTTATGGACCTGATAAATACATAATGACATGTCTACATCATTATAGTATTATACAAAATAGTTTTTACTCCCCTAAAAGTCCTCTGGGCTCTGTTTATTTATTCATTCCTTTCCCCCAGCTCCTAGCATCTGCTGATCTTTCTACTGTCTCCATAGTGTTGCTTTTTGCAGGATGTCATGTAGTTGGAATCACACAGCTTGTAGCTTTTTCAAGTTGGTCTTTCACTTAGCAAAGCCTTAAATATTACTCCACTATGTTTTTCATGGTTTGATAGCTCACTTATTTCCTGTTTCTGACTAATATGTCATTGGATGGGTGTTCCACAGTTTGTTCAGCCATTCTCCTATCAAAGGACATCTCGACTGCTCCTAAGTTTTGGCAGTAACCAATGAGGCTGCTATCAATGTCTGTGTACAGATTTTGTGTTCAGAGTTTTAAAATCATTGAGCTAAAAATAACTAGGCACATGATTGCTTGATATAATAACAACAATAGCTCAGTTTTGTAAGAAATTACCAAACTGTCTCTCCATATAGCGGCACTATTGTGCATTCCCACCAGTGTTGAATGAGCATTCCTGTTGCCCCACATCCTTGCCGGCTTTTAGTGTTGTCAGTGTTTTGAAATTTCACCATTCTAACTGGTGTGTAGTGATAAATCGTTGCTTCAATTGCAAGTCTTTAATGACGTAAGATGTTGTCTTTTGTTGTGCTTAGTGTCCATCTGAATATCTTCTATGAATTTTATCGTGGGAACAAATTTGTGAACTCACCAGAATCAAGACAACAGTTCCTTCACCCAAATGGTGACAGGAATTATTGTTACTAATAAGTGACAGGAATTGAAGTATAAATGTTGCGGTTCCTTTAGCCCTTGGATGGTGTAATTCTGAGCCTGAGCTCTATGCTGTTACCCAGAGTTTCTCCGTGGCATGAAGGTCTAATCCCCCAGTGTGGTAACAGGTCTATAATGCACTACTTATACACTGCTTCTCCTCCCTCACTCCTTGATATTCTTTGGTGTTGCCTACCCCTCCTAAGCAAACTATAACTGCTTGAATCCTTCTCTGCTTTTGAAGAACCTGAATTAAGACAGTCAGAGTATAACCAGAACTCAATATCTAAGATAAGGAGGTTGGTTAATCAGGACAAAGAGGAAAAAATCATGTGTT